TTTTTACTCGAAAGTTCGTTCGTCCGAAGCGCTTTTCTAGATTTATTTTCATCGGGAACTTTCAAAACCATTCATTTTACAATCTAAATATAGTGCAATACTTTTAAAGCATTTGACCTAACATCTTTCCCTTTTTCTAAACTTAAAGACTGATCGAAAGTACTATTCAAAGTTTGTTTCTTAAAAAAAGAATGACCAACATAAATACACATACACGTATCTTGTTTTAGGAAAAGATGAATAGGTTATTTTCAAAAGATCTCTAATAGTGATACAACTAAAGAAGCTTAATTTTTTAAATTGACAATATATTTGTTACGTTCAGAGGACGTGTTTTACAAAAAAACAAACGGAATTCCTTACTTTTCGCCTTTTCTTGTCGACTTGTTCTTTTTACAGTTTTGAAGGAGTTTTTCAAGAAGACTGATCAGTGGCTAGTAGTGTCAAGTTTCACTATATACATATTGTTCTCTCACTGAAAACTGAACTTCAGAATTCTGTGTGCACTTATTATTGCGATTGTTGATCAAAAGACTAAAATGTAAGATAAATTATTGCTATTTTAGGAAATGCTTTACACAAATAACGCTATCAAAATTTAAAATGCGAGTTTTTATTTTTCGAAACCTATTCCGTCGGAATTTTTTGCAATAATAAAAACATCGCAAAAATTTCAGTAATGCCAGTAATTCAAAAATATAAATCAATATCAAAGCAGCGCCTGCATATGGAGAATAAATCTTTAAGTTAATACGATATTCCAGTACCTATAATGATTTCCTCGGTTTGCTGTTTACAAGAAAGCTATTGAACTTAGGCTTCCTAATAGTAAATTTGAAATTATCACTTCGAGCACTGTCATGATTCGGTTGACAGTTATGGAATATCTATGTCATAGATAACCATAGATATGTTCCAATTGTCGTAACCACAATGACGGGTGCTACTTGTAGATCATGATCCCCAGAGCATCTGACATCGTCCCCGGTGGCGGTGTGGTTTATATAGCTTAGTCTTCAGTTTTAGATTGTTAATATTCTTTTCGTCGTCATTTACTGTGGCGATGGTATTGCAAAAATTAAAATAACAAAAATACCGAACTCCAAGGAAAATTAAAAACGGAATGTCCCTTATCAAATGACAAAATCAAAAGCTCAAACACATCAAACGAATGAAAAACAACTGTCATATTTCTGACTTGGTACAGGCATTTCCTTATGTAGAAAATGGTGGATTAAACCTGGTTTGATAGCTATCTAAACCTCTCACTTGTATAACAGTCGCATAGAATTCCATTATATTGACAACAATGTGTGCAAAACAAACAGACATTAATATGTAAAAATGTCAAAAATTTGGATACAGCGGTCAACATTGTACTATAATCTTAATCACTATAAACAAAATTGACTGTTTTTCTTTGACTTATGGTCCTTAGTTATCCTTTTGCTACTTCTGTATTTTCTCTTTTTTTTATAAAAAGTGTCCACGTTAGCTGTGCTACAAATGTACATTTATTGCTTCTTTTGAACTTTGGTTACTTAATATATTTATATGCCAGGTCTTTGGCTTTAATCCTAGAATGAATAAACGTAATTTTGGACGAAAGAGTCATTTTAGATGCCTACCAAAACAATCTGCAATTGTTTATATCCATAAAAGTCTTCAAATAAGATACTATTGACAGTTAAGTTTCAGGGTAATAACGTTATTATTTTAGCCTAGTTCTGACAAAAATACACCATGGATGTCAAAATGGTGCGTGCTATTATTTTTTTCTTACTGTAAACTATTATACATATGGCCTCAAATGAGAAAAGTCTAGTTGGGAAATAGAGAGTGAAAAACCTAAGATTGGGATTTACTTTTAATATCTTTATTTTGGTATTACGAATCTCAATATTGTACAAATGCTCCAAATGACCAGAGTAGACACATATATTCTTCCAATAGTTTCGCTAGTAGAGTAACCTATAGCTAATAAGGAATTCCAAATTGAACATTTTAAGTGCTGTGTTACTTTGAACAATAGAATGTCACACTTTACTACAATAGTACCATTAAGAAATGCAATAATTTATGAAGTGGAAGAAAAAATAATTAGAATTTGTAAATAAATAAATACTATTATGTTGTTGAAATTTAACAAGTAAATCATTTGCCTAAAAACCTTCCCATGAATATAACAACACCACTTTTTCTATCTAGTATGTAATATAAAAATGGTCGATCTCCAATGAATGTAGAGTAAGTGGTATTCGTTGTGACTTTTACAAAAGGTTGTATAATATTGCCTTTTAGTTTTACAACAACGTCATGAAATGCATCCGACACATAAACTCTGCTGCTATCTTCCTTGATGAGATTTTTGAAATCTGCATGGGTCTTGTTAAAAATGTCAGTTATTCCTAGTGTCGGTAAATACCCCTTCAAATCCAACTTATTAGAAATAACAAACTTTGGAAGTGTAATGTCTATAGTTTTGTACACCAGAGTTGCGTTTAAGTATCTGATAATATTGATGGAAAGCAGTTTTTCAAACGCTTGTAATTTGTTAATGTCTTCAGGTAAGATGATAACCATATCAAACTTGTCACCTTTCAATGGTAAAACTAAAACTTCTGATTCCTTTAGTTGTCCATATCTTACTTTTTGTATGCTCCTCATCATGTCTAAAGCTTTTTTTGTTGTTTTATTGACGTAAAAATCCCTCATTGTAGTATGTAAATTGAATTTATGTTTCCAGTCTGCTTTAAATGAAACGGTGTTAACAAACACTGCAACTGTTCGTTCTTTTAACATTTCCCTTGATATCAAATTGTCAAAGTTCTTCATTGTTTTTTTCGAAATCCACCTATTTATAATCCGCGAGGATCTTTTCGGTTTTCTTATGAAATTTTTTCTGTAGAAATTTACCCTGAAAAATTCTTTCCCTTTTTCTTTAACTGTATCTTGGATTGTGTATCTATTATTTACGAACACCTCATTGTCCAGTTTAATACGCAGTCCTTTTCGTGGAGATGGAAGAATAGATGTAAGAACTGTATAAAAGAAATGGTCTTGATCACTTGTACTGCCTTTGAAAATAGCAGACGATATTTGAGATTTAGTTCGACCATTCGTACCGAGCATCAACATCATTAACGCTGCTGAAATACTGAAAGGTGATAGCGTGGTGCTTGTATTCTGAATAATTTCGTTTCCGGTTGATGAAATTGATACACTATTATCCAGTGATACATTTAATGGTTGCAGCTCTGTAAAAGTCACCCAGACCTCGGCGATTTCCATGATGTATCTGTATGAACCAGTACTTTAAAGTTCTCAAGATCATTTGAAATGGAAAGTTACTAAATGAAAACAGCTTATATAATGGAACGTAGCATTATATTAATGCAGTATTAGTTTACCGATGTTCAAATGCACCCTCTTTCATATTATGTCAGTTTAAAATTTCCATAAATAACACATTTGTTCTTTATCAAATTGCGTTTTTTAATCCTTACACTATAATAACTTTTGTAATATCCGCAATAATGGATTTGCAACACCGAATAAACTTAAACGTACAACATCACACCCACAGTATCTACTTAAGAAAACAACAGCTTGTACAGAAGTACGCGCAAATATCCGTGTTTTAGGAGTCTCCGAAATGAACAAGTATATGAGTATACAGGTAAAAACTCATCGGGTAAGTAGTAATAAGTCTGCATGAAGATATATGTGAATCTGCGACGAAATGAACTAGATGAATCTGGAGTATAAACCCTGTTGGTCGGACTTCATTTATACAGACACACCGAACATTAAACTAACTTGTAACCATGTGAAATCGTGTGGAAGGAAAATCAGAAAATGTAACAAGAAAATCAGATGACGTATATACTAATAACATTAACGGCACTAATTGTTCTTCACCAGATTCGCATTTCGACAATAAATGTCTCTTCAGTAATGCTCGAGATCTAAATATTTTAAAATCCTAAGCCAGAGCACGTATATATTAAATCGCAGAACAGCGATGAGGTGCATAGTTTTCTCTTAGGACGCTTTTGGTGTTCAATGGGAATATATGTTTTATCAGTCTGGCTCCGAATGCATTGTGAAAAGCAGCATGTTAAAATGTGACAAACATGACATGCCAAGGAAAAAGGAATGAAATACAAAATTAGAAAGCATAAAAGTACGTAAATTCATGCATTGCTATCAGCCCTCTATGTCATTTAGTCTCTGCAATAGTTACTTCATTTAAAATCATTATTTTATCTATATAGGAATAATATTAATTAGAAATATCATTTCGATTTTCAAATTATCAATATTGAAAAAGAGTACTATAAAAATTACAGAAGAAATGGGAATTTATTGTAAAAGGAGTCTATTTAAGATATGATCGCATTTGTCATAGAAATTTTTTTGAACAAGCATTATTTAAAAAACATCGCGTATATTTAAACTTTTAGAAACTGTTTATGTACAGACGTATAGATATGTGGCAGGTATAATCGTGTAGCCAATCATAACCGCTTCCTTAAATATCGACCAATGAATACAAGGACGAAGTTTATGCACTCTTATGTACACTTTATGTGATGAATATATAACAACATAAAATTTTATTTACATTTGTATCATAATTCTGTTTTTATTAACTAAATCAATTGTTGCTACTCTTCGCTCTGAGATAAATTAAGCTTACAAATAGAAAATCACAGAATCCGATTATAGGAAAAGTGTTTACTGGGGTATTTTTTTTTTATTATTGGGGCAAAACTCAATAAATGGTTTATTTTTTGTGATCTTACATGATAACTAACAGTTAAAAAAATGAAACGAAAATCTTTACATAACACAAGTATTGTTAGCTAATTAAATTTAGGTATATAAAAACAAGGATTAACAAGCCATGAAAAATGCATTTAACACCTTTTGGGACCTCTTAAAGATCAAATGGGATTAGGCAAAAAAAAAAATGTTTATTAACAATGAAAGCCTTTTAAGCATGTTTTTCTCTCTGTTTTCCTCGGTCGACACATAATGTCAAATAGTATACCTTTTGAGAAAGAATTTTTGCATTTTTCGTCATCGGTGTATGATGTTATTGAGAAAACTGAAAGTACCTGTGTCTCACCTTATAGTTTAATTTCTGCTCTACTTTTGTTGATGGTTGGAGCAAATGGAAGAACGAAAACACAAATATCTTCTGCAATTTTCAATGATAGTAAACTTCCAGACAACAAAAAGTTCGAAAAGTACAGGGAACTAAGTGACCAATTAATTCATAATAAAGGAGATGAATTAGAATTTAAAGTGGCGAACAAAATGTTTGTAAACAAAAAGTTCACATTGAGAAAAAAAGTACAAAGGCAAGCTAAAGAATTCTTCTTATCGGATATCGGTTATAAAGACTTCACCAAGCCTAAACAGGCTGCTTCCTTTATGAACTCATACACTGCCAAGCATACAAATAATAAAATAAAGGACTTAATCTCTTGGAAATGGATAAATTCTATGACAGCAATGGTTTTAGTGAATGCTGTGTATTTTAAAGGCGAATGGAAGACTAAATTCGACCCATCAAACACAAAAAAGGAAGATTTTTTCGTAAGTAAACAGAAAACTGTGAAAGTAAATATGATGAACGTCAAGCAATCTGTTTTATACGTTTCACAAGATGATTTTTCTGCTATATCACTACCTTACAAGGGAGACAACTTTGATATGGTATTCATTTTACCGAAAGAGAATGACGGCCTTCATCAAATTGAAGAAAAACTGTCTTCTGATTTGATTAAAAGCGTAAACTCAAATTTAAAGACTGCTATGATCCAAATCAGTGTACCTAAATTCGCATTCGAGTCTGAGTTTGACCTCAAGCTTGTTCTTCCCCAACTTGGTATAGAGGATATATTCAATCAAGCAAATGCAGATTTTTCAACACTTCTCCAAGAACAAACAGACAAAGTTTATGTGTCTCGCGCAATTCATAAGGTATTTATAGAAGTAAACGAGAAAGGAACAGAAGCGGCTGCTGCTACTGCTATCGTAGCACAAGTTCGTAGTGCTAATATGCAACTAAATTTTGTCGCAAACCATCCTTTCTTATTTTATATTCGAAATCTTAATACTGGTATGATCCTGTTCATCGGCCGCTACAGTCCGGTTTGATCTATAAATAACAAAGTTTGAGGCAAAGTAGAAACAAATAAATGTTGTAATTGTTTATCGAATACTTGTAATTTTGATACAGGGAACATGTTTCCTTCTTTTTTTTTCTGTATCTAATCGTTAGTGTTATTTAATCTTTTACTGGTGTTTTGTATTCGATGACCGGTCGTAAAACCTTTTTTAGTCTAATATCCCCTTCTCAGAAACCACCAGACAAAAGAAATCGAATTTTGCAGATCTACATGTAACTTCTAGTTACTTGAAGAAAATGAGTTTAATAGTTTACAAACTGTAAAGATACACAGTCAAAGCCAAAACTATATATGATATACATTCACGTGCTTCAAAACCAAGTTTCAGTATATTTTATAAGATTAACATGATGGGTGTCACCTGTGGAGCAGGATCTGCTTATCCTTCCGGAGCACATGATATCACCCTCGGTATTTGGTGGGGTTCGTGTTGCTTAATCTACTGTTGTTTGTCTTTTAGTCCTTTTTCATTTTCTTTTTTTTTTTGCCATGTCAGTTTATTTTCGACTTATGAGTTTGAATGTCCCTTTGGTATCTTTCGACTCTCTTTGAGTATTTTTTAAATGTTATTCCTGTTATCCGTGTAAACATTTGATACCAATTTCACGATGCATGTTGTTATAATCTCCATCAGGTACGCTTGTGACCCAAATTAAATATCTGAAGAGCCACTAGCCCCTAATGTCACCTAGAGACCAGACAAACTAATTTTAGGATAAGCTATGCCTGAGTGATTTCAACCTTTATATTAGTCCAATTACATAACTGAGATATGAATATTTACAATTATAATATACAGTGTAATATTTAAATTATGTATGTCACGAAACAACGGTTACTAGACAAATAAGCTTTATTAATTTATGCTAGAAAAAGATATCCTTACTTTATGACAATTATACGTCAAGGAAATACAATCTAAACCTTACTTTAAAATTCTATCAGCATTTCCTGAAACGTTCATCTATTCTTCACGTAGACATTCTGAAAAGGTAAAACAAATAATTTTCTTTCATGTTTAAACCTTTTAATTATATCACTCATTAATTCGGTGTGTTTACATCTCTTATATCACAATAAAGTGTCAATGAACTCTAGTCAAAAAAATGTCTGATTGAAATGTATACCTTTGTAATAGATTTACATTAATTTTGAACACAAGATCTAAAAATGGAATGATTCAATTTTCCTCTTGTCAACTTGTACAAACTAAGATAATATACTACCACGTGTTCTCATTAAATGGATTTAACCCATAAAGGTATATTCGTCATTGAGAAACTAGTTATAACATGCGTAGGAGGAAAAACGACTGAACATTTATTTCACAATATCTACGATCGCCATCATGAATTATTTGACTACATGTGTAGATGTCTATTCTTTCTTGAAACATGTTTGACATTTAATCCATGACTAAAACTTTATTTGGAGTGACTTGCTAAATTTGAATAGAGTCGGAACATAACCTGGGGATATTTAAAACGCATAAGTCGATGAGAAACTGACATATCCATAGCAAAACAAAATTAGAAAATATAAAGCCGACAAAACACTTCATTGGAAAACACTTGAGACTGAGAAACATGAAAACTATAAAAAGCTAGAGGTGATCTAAGTTGCTGAAAGATTATCATATTTTACTCTTCATATGTCGAGTTACTCCTATAGAATATATTGGTTAGTTAAATGAAGTGATTAGGTATCAATTCTAACCTTTAGACATCACCACATTCATAAACCATCGGGCATGTCAATTTTCTAACCCTGAAACTTGAACGAATGAGAAGGTTTGAAATTAAACAAAGTTAGACAAGACTGTGACCGATAGAAACAACACATACTAATTTACGTGTTTACTAATACGTACCCATTGTATACAAGCATATGCATAATCACAGATGATCCATGAGTAGGTCCATCTCCACATATGCACCCGCTATGTTGCTCATGATAAGTTCATGTTCGATGATAAGACTCATTCGAAAATATTACGATCGAGGAACAGAGGACGAGATTGTAGTTACGACAATTTTATCACGTTTGTGGTCATGTGTGTCACAGATATTCCATAACGGTTAACCAACTCTTGATGGGGTAAGTAAAACGCTCGAAGGTATGACTCCAACTTTATTACTTTGAACCCTTGGTTCAATAGCGTCCTAGTGAACTGCAACCCACTATCAAAGAAATCTTCTCTGAACTATTAGCTGTGAGATATAAACTGCAATTGCAAGCGCGTCTGAAGTGTTACCACATAGAAATTGATAGTTCACAATTGGAGAACATGAATTTTTTGTTTCTTAATCGACTAGCATTGTCAATTTCCAAATGTAAGTCAATATATGAGTTTAACTGTTTCTATTGTTATCTTTATAATACATTTGATGAGATAGATACATTTAACTTAGTCACAAAATTTGAAAATAACTTAGTTAGAAGACATCATCTGTTTAAAGGAACGTGAAAATACAGGCTAGTATTAGCTTCTTTTCATTCCTCATGAAAAGCTCCTATTTGAAGTATACCTCATATGAATAAAGGAACAAGTCGACAAGAAGATTAGCACATTATTAGCTCATTGTTAAAGGCCGTACGGTAACCTACAGTAGATTATAACCACGTCATTCTGACTCTGATGGATAGCATCGTACCATATCACCGTATTTGTATATCTTGTTTTCGTATAGACGCGATATATGCTATAACGCATTTGAAGATGCAAAAGCAAACGAAGGAATAGTTAACATCTACCAGTTGAAAAAAGTCAAAATATTGTCCATTTCAACATGATTATGACATTAAAAGAGAGGGGAAGTATATCAAACGGACATTCAAACACATAAGTCGAAAACAAACTGATAACGCCAAGGAAGAAAACGAAAAACAAACAAAACACAAACAACAGATTACAAAACACAACATAAAAAACTAAAGACTGAGCAACACGAACCCCACCAAGAACTATGGGGATCTCAGGGTCTCCGTAAGTGAAAGCAGATCCTGCTCCAAATGTGAGACTCGTTGTGTTGCTCATGAAAGTACTGTCATGGTGATAAGTCTTAGTCAGTAGGTCACATTCGGGGAATAGAGGACGTGATAATGGTTCCGACAATTGGAACATATCCGTCGGCATTTGTGAAACAGGTATTCCATAACGGTCAACGAACTTGTTATGGCGTCCGTAAAATTTAAGAAGGGGTGATTTTAACTTCACCCCTTAGAACCCTTAGTTTAAAAGCTTCCTTGGAAACAGAAACCATCTGCAAAGAAATTCATGATAGGAAATTGAAGCTCTGGAATATCGTATCAACTTGGAAATTTATACTCTATTTGCAGGCGCAGCTGGAATGTTCTTACATATAAATGGAAAGTTCACAATTGGGAAGCTGAAATAATTACTTTTGTTGTAAGGTTTTGTTCTCAACCGACCCTCATTGTCAATCTCCTGATGTAAGTCAAGATATGCGGCAGACTTAACTGTATCTATTGTATCGTTTATTTCAAGTTAGATAGGATAGATGCGTTCAACACAGTCACCAATCTTTTATGTTTGTTAGTATGTTGTACTGTTACACAACTGTCCCAGGTTAGAGAGGATTGGTGCCAGCAAACATGTTTAACCCCGCCACAATCTGTATGTGCCTGTTCCAAGTCAGGAGCCTGTAATTTAGTGGTTGTCGTTTGTCGCTGTTTATCAAGTTCGGTTTTCGTTTATTGCTTTGTACATGTATTGGGCCTTTAGTTTTCGCGTTTGAATTGTTTTACATTTATTTGTCTCAATTTCCTTATTTTCCAGCAATTTGTATATTTCCCACCCATTTTTAATGCTATTTTTTTATACAGTTTTACGATATAAATAAAATCTACTACTGTTTTTTTCTGCAGGAGCTAAAAGGGAGTTTTTAAAAAAAATGACAAAAAACTGGATTTAGCAATAAAAATAACAACTTTTAGTGGCCTAGGTAACATGTGCTTTCCGTATAGGTATAAGTATTTGATTGAAAAAATTCCGGCCTTCAAAGCATTATTCTTATATCTGGATCAATATATTAACATGTTTGTCCGCCTAGCATGTTTCTTAGACAGGCAATTCAGGTAACGAGATTTATAGATACAAGACAGACTTCCTTCAAAGACAGACAGAAAGAAATGCAAAACTGCGCAGCTTGAACTTTTTGTCATGTAGCTCTTCAAATGTTTCGGTACTTAAGCATCCCTCGGATTTCAAATGTTTGGCATTGAGCGTTCCTGTTGAAGGTAAATCTAGAAAAGCGCTTCGGACGCATGAAATTATTAAACGTGTTGTTTTCAATTTTTTATGACAAAAGATATGATTTCAGCTTCCCATATGTGAACTTTCCATTTTTATGTAGCAACATTCCAGCAGCGCCTGCATACGGATTATATATCACCCAGTGGATACGATACTCCAAGGCTTGAATTTCCTATCATGATTTCCTTGATAGAGGGTTCCTGATCACAAGAAAGCTATTAAACCAAGAGTTCCAAGTGATGAAGTTGAAAGCATCCCTTCGTTAATTGTACGAACGCCATCACGAGTTGGTTGACCGTAAAAAAATATCCGTTTCACATATGATAGCGGATATGTTCTTAATGTCGTAACTACAATCCCGTCCCCTTTTCCCGAATGTGACCTACCGCATTAGCCTTATTACCGGGTTTGTACTAATATGAGCAACACGACGGGTACCACATGTGGAGCAGGATCTGTTTACCCTTCAGGAGCACCTGAGATCACCCCCAGTTTTTGGTGGGGTTTGTGTTGCTCAGTCTTTAGTTTTGTCTGTTGTGGTTTGTGTTCTATTGTTTGTCTGTTTGTCTTTTTCTTTTTTAACCATGGCGTTGTCAGTTATTTTCGACTTATGAGTTTGAATGTCCCTTTGGTATCTTGCGCCTCTCTTTTAAACATTATATATTACTTTCATGTGTGTGTGTTATTTGTAATTGTGTCAAGGTTGTT